TAACTAATACTATATTTTCTTTTCTAATCATGTAATTTATCGTACTTATTATATGTAAATTCTAATAATATTTACAATGATTGCTTGTATATTGTACAGCTTATTTATTACGTGTCTCATTACAATGATGATTTATTAATTCCAATAAATAAGTAACTATAATAATAACTACATGCAAGATTTGTTTACAAAATAGATTATTCCTCCTGTTTTATTAAAGTAGCAAAGACTGTATGCAGAAATTATGTATAAAAAAATTACTTTTTTAAAGTTACAAAAATGTCCATACATACAGATAATTTATAGTAAAAAATATATATTATTTGGATATGTATGAATATATTGGATATTATTGGATATTTACTTTATCTTTTATATTTTAAAAATAAAATTAAAAATATAATATACTGTATTACATGATACTTTTTAACTTCTCTTAAATCAATGTTAACTTTTATTTCCTAAAAGACATCTCTCAAAGGTCTGTGGAAAAGATTTATGAAAAAGTAAGTGCTATTTGCATAACCATAAGAATCTTAAGTCATCTTAAAGAAAATATTCCGGGTGACAAAAACAGAAAGTCAAGCAAATTTATTTAGCGACAGCATGAATATTTTAAAATTTATAATGAAATAGACAAAAATTAGATTCAAATAATTAAATCAAAAGTAGAAATGAGTAATGCCAATTCAGAGCGGGCAACAGATTGTTAATGTGTACATAAATTATTAATGTGTACATTAATAAACAATTAGATTTAACAATTGCAAAGTAAAGTTTCGATCTCACATTTGGACCATCTTCATTAAAAAATTATAAGTCAAATAACATTAAATATTAACATATGTCTTAAGACTTGACTTAGATTGATATAATTTTCTTATTAATTGTAAAAATGTATGTGTGTCAATAGAGTTTTTCAAGTTAAATATGTCCAAGATTAAAATGAACATGAGATGTTTAAAATACACTTTATTGTCAAATAAGTATAAGCAAATAGTTTCGGTACGAATCTCTAAATGTCGTACAAGAATTATAATAAAATAATAATATAAACTTACATATATGCAACGCAGTGGATCTGATATGGAATAGTTTTAAACAATCTGGTCTCATAAAACAATCAAAAAATGAGAAGCGTTTAAACATAAGTGATAAATTTCCAGATTTTAAGAATTTGTATTTTAAACATCTGACGTTCATTTTAATCTTGGACATAACTCAACTTGAAAACGCTTGAGAAACGCTGTTGACACCATGTATCTTTTATGATTAATAAGATAATACCTAAGCATCAAGGCTTAAGACATTATTAATATTTAATAACATTCGATTTATAATTTAATATTGAAAATAATCCAAACACAGGACCAAAATATTTACTTTGCTTTTTTATTAAATTTGTTTAATTTGTGCTTATATGTATACTAACAACTTGTGGTTAGCGGCTCTGAATTGACGTTACTCGTTTCATTTTTAATTTAGAATTTATTCTTTTGAATTTAGTGTGTGATGTAATATCTCCGTTCACGATGCACGGAAATAAAAACAAAAAATACTTTTATAACTTAAATCCATTGAGTACTTAGATAAAAATCGATTCAACCGTGAAGCTAAAATATGAAAATGTGAATTTTGATTATCTGAGTGGCTCATGTTAATAAACTCGCTACCGTTCTACGTAAACTTTGCTGCACGTGAATTTGGCGCGACACATTACCATATCTTCTGATTCTGATTATATGCGTTACAAGTTTGATCCCGTAGGAATGTAGTCGACCATGAGTGGAAGGATACATATAAGGAAAAAAAAGGGGGGGAAGAGCAAAAAGGAATAGTTTATGTTTGGCCGTTTCCCATCAGCAGCTATGAAAAGCGAAAGTAAGAACCAGCAGTCACATAGGCCTTGAACCTAACAATAGGATCGATGATCTCATCTCCAAATGCGACCTGACTATACGTTAATATGAAAATTCACGTGCGCATTAAATATCGGTCTGCTGTGCATATATACGTACGTGTGTATGTATGTATCACATATATATTTCATCATGAAAAAAATAATGATTTTCCAGCATAGTTCTTAATAATTATTTCTATTAATTATAATTAATCATTATAAATCAAAATATATAAAACGTATCTAATAATATTAAAAAAACTTATACAAAAGTTTGTATTAAGAGTTTAAGTAAATAAAATTGTGAAGAATAATTAATAATAATAAAAAATTAAAATAAACAATGTCTGATAAAACATTTTTGACAAATTAAGTTTTTATTAAATTTAAAAATAAATTTAATTAATGTAAAATAAATCTATATTTCCATAAAAGATTTTTTTACTTCAACTTTAAAAAACAATATATTAAACAATGTATTCCACACGCACATTTTAATTGTAAATATGTAAAATAAATATATAAAATAATATACATCTTATATCTTTTAATAATCTTTTAATACGCATATGTGCATATACGCATTATTAATTTGTACAAATTTGTATCACCAATAAAAATTGTGTACCCCGTGTCATATTGAAAAAAGCTGCTAGCTTAATAATTAAGCTAGCAGGAGCACATAAAAAAAAAAGAAAAAGGAAAAAAAAAAGAAGACAAGGATAGAAATGCAAAGAATTTCTACCATTTGTACCAAAAAAGTTAAAATATTGATCTTATTAAAAGAACCCCCATTTTAACTCAGGCCTAGCATCAAGAGTAGAGTCTTTCACCACGAACAGAAACAATCTCTACTACTCTATACTTAAAGTACTGCAATATATATCACTAAAATATAAGGTTTCAAATTTTGTATTCTCTTGTTTCTTCGGAAATTATTCTCAATACCTTAGTTCAAGAGTAAAATATTCTTTCTTTGCAGCAAAGTCGAACAATATTATTTTTATTCGATACGAAATAATTCGATGTGATAAAAGATACTTTACTTTTGATACCCTAGTATGATAGCCTAGTAGGCTTAAATTAAATTGGAGGTTGTTTCAATAGGATCAATATTTTAACTTTTTTAGATGGTACAAATTAGTAAAAAATTCAATACTTTGCATTTTTATTCTTGTTCCTTTTTCTTTTTTTGATCTGGTCCTGCTAGCTTAACATTAAGTTAGCAGCGCCACGTTTTCTTCAAAAGATACGGTACAAAAGTACGGTACTGTACTTTTTATCGATGGTACAAATTGGTACAAAATGTGGATAATAATTATTAAATTATAGCCTCATAACTTAGAATGTACTTACTAAAAAAGTACTTTATTATATAGTATTTTGCAAAGCTTTCTGTTTTACAGAGGCCAGCTACAAGAATATACAAACAAAAATACAAACAAAAACATTTCCATTTAAAAAACAAAGTTGAGCTCTGTATGATCTCCGCGCGTCCACCCAAGGTAACAAGTTAACAAAGGTAAACTGATAAAATCAGTAAATAGATCTTTTTAAACTTTACAATTTTTGTCTAAAACATTTCTTCCAAAAATGTCATTCTTCTGAGTAAATCCAGGGTCCCGACCTTTATCGAACACCCTGTATATTTTTATGTTTTCCACAATATCGTACATACATACATACGTATGTATGTGCACATACATGTACGCGCGCGCGCGCGCGGGTGTACGCATTTTCATATTTTCCATAATATTGTTTTTCATTGTATATATGTTTATTAGCTTTATTGACATAATTATGTATGTAAAAAAATAATTTTATGTTAACGACTCTTCTCGATATAATAATTATAAATAAAGAGAAAAGTTATTATAGTTTCACCTAAGTTAGTCAAGTCAAGTTGAAACAAAATGCTATACAATGTGGAGGTTGTCGACAATATAGCTGCGAGAATATTGATTTCCAGATATAAATAGTCTGTGGTATCTATTATTCAAAATGCTCTGAACTTCATTGGGTTGATAGTTTCTGATATTTAACAAACAATTCTCCTCTAAAGAATAGTTGAAACATAGAATAGAATTCAAGAATATAATATTAAAATAAAATAAGGTGAGATTAGTTAAAGATTTGTGAAATTTGTGGATTCAATGATATTAAATTTTAATTTAATAATGATCTAAAAATATGTAAATAAAAAACTTCGCTTATTTTGGGCTAATCACGTATAGTTATCAATTGTATACCTTTTTGTAGATAATAATAAAAAAAATATTATATTAAAAATTAGTTAGTAGTTTTAGATCTTCAAACCCATACACAAAGCAGTTAGTCTTTTAAAGATATCACTTTACGCATTCGACAGTTCCTCATTAGAGCTATCAAAGCTAGATATTTGGCACATCTTAGATACCAAAAGAGAATGAGGATGATGATGACAGAGGCACAGCAATCTACTGCGATATATCCGCCTTATACATCTTTTTAACCAGAATGAATTTTAGAGATATGGTTGTCATGGACATTACTGATTTCAATTTATTTTTTGCCGTAATATACACCTGAACTTAGTCAAATAAATATGATTGAAAAAATTATCGCCGTAAGGTAAACGTAGAAATAAATCTTGTGACGAAAGGAAATGGATAAAAAAGATCTAGAAATATTTTTAATTACATAAAATAATTACATAAAATAATTATGTAAAATAAAAGATTATTAATTGAAAGTGTCCTTTAAGCTAAAATAATATACTTCACATTACATTGATGAAACCCTAAACTGAGGTCCTATCTGATGCTACTATAGCTGTTGGCACTTATATAATTTTAATCTCGAAATTTTTTTCTTTCAATAATCAATATTTTATAAAAATAAACTTTTTTTAAATACTGATCTAAAGAAAAGATCTAACAATAAGATTAAGAAATCTTATAATAAAATAAATGTGCTTGTAGTTCTAAAATAAAAATATAACATAATATAACATAATAAAACATTGAAAACAAAAAAAAAATAAAAAAATAAAATAATAAGAAAAAAGAAAGAATAAAGAGAGAAAGAAAAAAATGACGTGGTAAATAAAAAGTAAAAAAGTAAAAAAATGGAAGAAATGTAATAAAAAAAGTAAAAAATAATAATAAAAAAATTGA